TGTGATGCCGCACAACATTTTAATCTTTTTTTATTATTCTACAACATAAAAATATCATATTTTTTGTCAATTTAAAAAGATAAAATAGTTTTCAAAAATTAGAAGATAATTTTGATAAAAAATGAAAAAATATTATAAAATATAAAAATTGTTAAACATATTTGAAATAAATATCAAAATATTTTTTATTTATTCTTTGAGATAAACTTATGCCTTGCTGTTTAAAGCACTGCAGTGAACCACAAAGACATAGTATAGCAATTAGCAAGCATTTCTTTATTTATTATTCGCTGGCTATGACAATTATTTTAAAAGTAAAATATAATAAACTCCTTTCTTTTTTTTAATTAGAAATATTTTTTATTTTTTCTAAACATATACTTTAGTTTGATTGTTAATATTGTTAGAAATATTTTATTAAAAATTTTAAAATATTTAATTTTTTTATTTTAAATTATGTTGAAAATTTTAAAATTATTATTTTACCTTATAATCTAATTGTGTACTCTCCTAATTTTAAAAAAATTAAATAATTATGTTGATATTTAAACAAATAATTTAAAATTCTGTGCTAAACTAAATAAAATTTTAAAAAAAAATATATTTTTTATATTAAATCTTCATTTTATTAAGTTTTTCTGTATTTAAAATATTATTTTGGTCAATTTATGTATTTAAATTATAGAAAATGTTATTCAATAAATATTTAAATATGTTTTGGTAATTTAAATGATTTTTATACAACATTTATATTTTAAAAAAGTGATATTTTGTTCTAATATATGTAACTTAATGGTTAATTAATGGTTGGATTAATGAAAATGAAGTTTTAAAAAATAGAGGAGATGTTTGTATTTCGTAATTATTTATATTAAGAGATATTCATATAGGTTTCAAAGATAGTACTTCCTCCATTTAACTTCCTCCATTTAAAAACATAATACATTTTTTGAAGAGTATGATGTTAAAAAATATTAGGTATTTTTAATCTTTTGAATTGTAATCATTACCCTTTTTTTAAAAGTGCCCCTATTGATAATGATTTTATATTCATTGTAAGGTATTTAATAAGAGTAAATATAAAAAGGTAGAATTAGTTAGAAAGTAAATAACTACTTTATTGAGGGGTGAAATTAAAAATGCCTTATATTTTTTAACAGAAGGAATATATTACTTTTACTTATTTTATAAGCAAACCTTTCTATTTTTGCCTAAATTTATATGCTCATTTCATCCCAAATTATAAGATAACTTTAAAAAATTTTATTGTTTTAAAATATAAGACAATTTAAGAAAAATAATGTTTCTTTAAGTATACTTTGTTAATATCACCCTTCAAGTGGAGAGATAATTGAAATAATATTGTAGCACAACGATTAAGTGTGTAGAGATATTTTTAAAATTTTAAAATTTTATTTTAAAAAAATAAATTTATAAAATATTATTATTATATTTTATTAATATATATAATTTTATCTCAAATTATTTTATAATTTTAGTTAGAGGGAGTAGAAAACAAAATGGTACCTCAATTTAGCCAAGGAAAGGAAACGTGGGAGAAAGATCACACAGCCGTGATCCAATTGGTCTCCTCTAAGCCTCCGCGCTCAGCTGCTCACCAATTGATGAAGTGATCATGATGTCTTTTCTTTCGAATCATAAAACACTTTTTTAATTAACCTCAATCCACAATTTTTTAAAAAGTAGTATTTTTTAAAATTATTTTTAAAAATTTACTAATGTTGATAAATAATTTAACTAAATAATTTTTTCTCTCTTAATAATAATGGGTTAAGGGAAAAATAAAAAATATATGATTTTTCATGGAATTAAGAAAATACTCATTTGGTTTAATAGTCATGGACTTTTTTTTTTAAAGTATCATATTAAAAAAATATCATAGAAAGAGTGTATAATTTTAAAAATAATTAATTAACTTATTAAAAAATAAAATTTAATTAAAAATACATTATAATACTAAATTGCAGGAGCTACAACTTTTATCAGTTTAAAAATGTAAGTTTCCTACAATATATCTTAAAGTTCAAAAGGATTACAGAATACATGTGATACAAATAACAATAATTTGGGCTCCCTAAGGGTGTGTTTGATTGGGGGAGAGAGGAGGGGAGGGAAAATTTTAACCCCCCCAAGCTCCCCTCCCCTCCCTCGTCTCCCCTCTCCTCCCTTTGAATCAAATAGGTCTTAAATGTTATTTGAAGGTTTGACTCCTGTAAATGTGTATAAAAAATTATTTTTTAAAAGAGAATAATTTTTTAAATGATATTTAAATTTTTTCAAGCATTAACTCATAATTGCCAGCTGTCAAGATATATTGAGTAATCAATCAAAAAAAAGTTTAAAAGGAATCTTCATAATTCAACTTATTTTCATTATTAAATTAGAGGCGTGAAATCAGCACTAACAATTTGATCAATAAGAAATGAGCACTAACAATTTGATTAATAAAAGGTTAGCTCTGAAAATAACGTATCATTTCCAACTACTTTGGGATTTGGAATTGGTTAAATTAAAGCGTGACGGCAACACAATCACCTAACCCAGCGGCCAGCAGCCTCCTCTTCTCAATAAATCGTTGTCCTCCCTTCAAGGTTATAACACATTTTTAATTCTGTCAGAACTTTTAATTAATTATTTATTTATTTTTAAAATTATAGTATTTTTTTATGGAAATATTTTTTTTATATTTACTCTTATTTAATTTAATAAAATATTTTAATAAAAAATATTATTTATTACACTGTTTTTGCCAACTATTAATTACACTTTTAATTAAAGTATATTAAAAAAATTTTTATTAATACTATCTTAAAAAATTCAAACTACCTTATCTTTTTTAATATCATAATTTTAAGAAATGCTTTATTTTCAAATACAAACAATATACTCTTCTCATTTTAAATTATTAAATACTTTTAGAAGAAATTAAGTGTTATAAAATATAAGACACTTTAAAAAAATTAAAATTTTATTAAATAGATTTATTTTAATAAAACCATTTCTTTTTCTCTATTTAATCTCTGTATCTCTTTCTTTTTTATATATTAAAGAGAAAATATAACTTTGAGGCCTTACACTTTATTCACATTTTACTATAAGTCCTTGTATTTTTTTTTTCTATTCTAGGTCTTTACACTTTTATTATTTAATGCTTTAAATTTTTTTAGAACATCAAAAAATAAAAGTGTAGGAACTTAAAATATCAAAAAAGTGCAAAGACATTAACAAAATGAAAACAAAGTGCAAGGACATAAATTTATGTTTTTCCTGCATTAAATTAAATGAAGGGTTTAAAATTTTTTATAATTTATTATGGGAGATTATTATTAGTAAAAATAATATTAAAATCCTTTTGAATTATCTTAATGACATTTTGATATCTCAAAATGCTATAATTTTCTTGAAGCCCTTAAAGATTTTTTTGTCATTAAAAAATTAATATAAAATACCAAATTGTCCTTGATAGAGATAAAAATCTCAAACATTAGAATAGATACTTGCAAACTAGCAAATTACTATTGAATTTTTGAGACTTAAAAAAAAAGTTGTGAATATTATAACAAAATTTATAAATAGTAATTAATATTTGCGAGAATTGAGAAATATTAAGATTTTAAATGTAAACTTGTAAATTACTGTTGAATTTTTATGAATTTAAGAAGAAAATTTGTGAATTTTAGAACAAAATTTATGAATAACAATTGATATTTGTAACACTTAAAAAATATTAAAATTGCAATTGTAAACTTACTATCTGCTGTTGAATTCTTGTGAATTTAAAAAAAATTATAAATTTTAGAACAAAACTTATGAATGATAATTAATATTTATAATATTTTAAGAATATTATGATTTTAAATGCGAATTTATAAATTATTGTTAAATTCTTAAAATTTAAAAAAATTGTAAATTTTAAAATAAAATTTTTAAATTTAGGGCGTGAAGTATTGTGCTGAGATTTAAAATTTTTATTTCAATAAAAAAATAATTTAACCTTTTATATTAATTTTTTAATATCAGAAAAATATAAGAACTTTGGGAGAATCATGAGATCACAAGATATCAAATTATTTTCCCTTGTTATAATCCCATTATCCCGTCAGCAGTCGTACGGGTACGGCCCCATTTTTTCATTCTTCTTCCTCCCCCTTCACATCTTCAACCTGTTCTGTACAGCTTCGTGGCCCCCATCTTCCCGGCGATTGGCTAGGACCTACGTCGTGTGTACGGTCACAGAGGAAGTAAAGGAAGCCCATCACAACCAATTATCCCTACCAAGCAACCTTGAAAGCGCCATGTCCTTTTCTCTCTGACTCTCTCTCTTCATAATTGTCTCGTACGCACAGTTTCCTTCCGAGGCCACTATCCCAATAGCACATCCACAACCACACCCTTCGATAATTTCTCTTCCACACCCTTCGCTCTTTATCTATAAAGCAACCCCATCTCCTCCTCTCATTCCTCGTCTCGCCAGATTCACTCCCTTTGCTCTGAATAATTTCAATTTCCTCCATTGATGAGGTTCGTCTGAGCTCTTTGGTCTTGTGGGTTTTGTTGAAATTGGATTGTCGTATAAAGGTTTTTCCAGAAAACAAGAAAGAAGAAGAATTGCTCGGCGGGATTAGATCCGGTGTGGACGCGTTGTAGGCATCACGGCTATTCTCAGAGTATTTCGGCTTCTCATTCATGTCCGAGCTGTACGACGTAAGGGTTGTTTAACTGCTGCTTGCAACCCTTCGCCGCACGGCGGGCGTGGCGCTTTGCCTTCGGAAGGCGGTAGCCCTTCTGACCTCCTCTTCCTCGCCGGCGGTGGTGCTTCCTTCGTCTTCGTCTCATCTTTAGTATAATATTAGCTTAGAGTTTTCTAGTTGTTAGAGATATTTTAAGGTTAAGCTACTAAAGTCTGTAAGATCGAACTCGTTGAAGCTGTGTTTTTATTGTTGGGTTTGGCTGTTTTAATTTTCTGGGAAAAATAAAAGAAAGAAAAAGCCAAAGATGCTGAGCATCAAAAGGGTTCCCACCGTTGTTTCTAATTACCAAAAAGAGGAGGGAGGAGAGGCTACGCGCCATGTCGGAGGCTGTGGTCGTAATTGCTTGAAAAGTTGTTGCATTCAAGGTATTTGTCGAAATGCTTTGTATTAAATTTATGCTTTCTGGTGAGCATGCTTGATATGTTTGATGAATATTTGGTCATTTGGGTGTTTTTTGAACAGATGCGAAGCTTCCCTTGTATGCTTTCAAAAGGGCTAGCAAGGTCGTTGAAAAGGATGAAGGCAAGGAGGCCCCCGTGGCCTTCTTGGACTCCCTGATACTTGGGGAGGTAATTATGCATGACCATGATGAAGATTGGCTGTTAAGTTTTGTTTCATTTTTGTAATTCTTTTATCATGTGTTGAAATTGTTTACTATGTCATGGTAGTGGGAAGATCGCGTGCAGAGAGGGCTTTTCCGCTACGATGTTACTGCCTGTGAAACCAAGGTCTGGTTGATTTATTTACTCGTTTTTGGACCTATAAATTTCGTTTATAGTGTTGAGTTTCATGTTTTTGGGCTATATTATTCTGCGCAGGTGATTCCCGGTGAGTATGGTTTCATTGCCCAGCTGAACGAGGGTCGCCATCTCAAGAAGCGACCAACTGAGTTTCGAGTTGATAAGGTCTTACAACCCTTTGATGAAAACAAGTTCAACTTCACAAAAGTTGGGCAAGAAGAGGTTCTGTTTCAATTTGAAGCTAGTGATGATGGCAAAATCCAGTTTTTCTCAAATGCACCTGTTGATATGGAGAATTCTCCTAATCTTGTTGCCATCAATGTACTTTTCTTAGCTTTGATTCAGATTGTTGTTCTTGTGGCTTAAAAATTGATAAGCAATCTGTATGATGCTGTTCATAAATTTTATGTACTTACTTTCTTTACAGGTCAGTCCTATTGAATATGGGCATGTACTGCTGATTCCTCGTATCTTTGAATGTTTGCCTCAAAGGATTGATCGAGACAGCTTCCTGATTGCCCTTCACATGGCAGCAGAAGCAGGAAATCCATATTTTCGATTGGGTTACAACAGTTTGGGTGCATTTGCAACTATCAACCACCTTCATTTCCAGGTACTGATTAGTAGACAACTTTTATTGATGGATCTAATCATTCATTGCGATAGTTATGTTTCTTATTGCATCGAGTAATCAAATCAAAATTTGATGATTTTGATGTGCGTAGGCATACTATTTGGCTGTGACCTTTCCCATTGAGAAGGCTCCTACTAAAAACATAACCAGATCAAATGGTGGTGTGAAGATATCTGAATTGCAGAACTATCCAGTTAGGGGCCTCGTGTTCGAGGGTGGCAATACACTTGAAGATCTAGCCAACACTGTTTCAGATGCCTGTATCTGCCTTCAGGAAAATAACATACCTTACAATGTTCTTATTTCTGACTGCGGAAGGCAAATCTTTCTCGTACCACAGGTGTCTAACATAGCTCTTCAACTTTCTTTATTTGCTTAAAATCATTTCATCAGTTTAATTGATGATATTTGTGATAAACAGTGCTATGCGGAGAAACAAGCCCTTGGAGAAGTAAATGCGGAGCTTTTGGATACCCAAGTGAATCCTGCAGTGTGGGAAATTAGCGGGCACATGGTGCTGAAGAGGAAGAAGGACTATGACGAAGCATCTGAAGCGAATGCTTGGAGGCTTCTCGCTGAGGTTTCACTCTCTGAAGAGAGGTTTCAAGAAGTCAATACTCTGATTTTCTCAGCCATTAATGCTTCTGGTAAGGTGGAAGATATTGAACCTCAATTTCCCCAGGAAGCTGATGCAGCTAACCCGAGTTCCCACACGGCCATGGTGGCTGGTTCACAGGGGTGTCTCGTTCTGCAGTGACAAGGATCCAGCGATTTCCGTGACAGCGATCTGTTGAATAAAATCACGGTGCTTTCTGTAGTAAATTGCTATGTCGTGTTGGATCAGTTTAACACAGTACCTTATGGTATGTTATTGCTTGAATTCTAGTATTGTATCGTGTGTGTGTGTGTGTGTGGTTCCCAAAGATTTGGGTACTACTTGAGTGTGCTTTGCTATTAAGTGAACTTGTAGTGTGCTGGGATATGTTTGTGCATTATGGTAACTGTAAAACTACGATGAATTGAATAAATGCTCTTGGGAGCTTATTAGCTGGTGAGTTTTTGTGATCATGTGCGTACAATATATTATCTGGTGTTCTTGACTATTTCAGATTGAAGTGTTGTTTCATATCAATACTCAATAGATACAAAGGAGGAAATTGTCTTTCTCCCCTAATTTTCTTTCTTAACCTCAAGTTAAAAGATATGATGAACTACCTTTTAGTTAAAGAAAAGGATCATCATCACTCTAAATGGTTCCTTCCTCAACCTAGATGGATTAGGTTAGACATGGATGGTTCAGCTAACTGAATTGGAGCTGTTGCATGTGGCGATCTTATTCACAAATCACAAGGAACAAGGAAACTAATTAAAAGGATTTACCAAATTTCTTGTTGGATTCCACCGTGGTTTAACTGTTGAATTTTTTAGAATTCTTGAAGCTTAAACTTTGTTGGGATGGTAAATTTTATAAGGCAGTGTTTGGATTGATAGTTTTGGATTTGAATTTAAAATTTAAAATTTATCCATGTATTTAAAATTTTTTATTTTGAGTAGTTTGAAAAATTTTAAATGAAGAAGAGAGGAGATTTAAGATTCGAAACAAAAATAAAAAATAACAAATTTATTTTTATTTTTTAATTAACAAGAGATGAGAACAAAATATGAAAATTATAGAAATATTAATAATAAAAACACTAAGAGAACAAATGTTTAAAGTTGATAGAATTTCAAATGATTAGAATGTAGAGGCCATTTGAAATTATAAATAAATTATAATAAATTGACATAAATTTAGATTTAAATCAAATTTAAATTTGTAATTTTTTGTTTATCTAAATAAAGGGTTTAGTTCAAATTCATATTTTTGTTATTCCAAACACTCCATAAAGCAATGTTTTAAAAATTAGACTTGACCATGAACCGAAAATATTAATAGGTCACAGATTTCATGATTTAACCGATTAGATTGATGATTGAATTGATATTGTAATAATTAAATAAATATATATATATATATTTAAAATTTTGGATCAAAGCGGTTTAACCGCTATAAGTCTTAAATTTTTGTTTCGAGCTTTGAAAAATTATCTGAGTCAAAGTGAACCAATCCTAATTAACTGTCAAAATAAGTTAAATGGTTGAATCACATCTTTTTTTCGTGACAGTTAAACTAATCCTACTATCGGGTCTAAAAACAAGGCCATAAAGTCAATGTCTATCAAGATTTTTTTGATACCCTTACTCATTAACAATGAAAATTCACAGAACCATCCTCTCTACAATGACATCATAAAAATTAGGGATTTAATCGTGAGAAACTAGACTATTATCATTGACCATACTTTTGAAGAAGCAAATGGCTTGCCAATCATGCGTCCCCGGACAACATTGATATTAGGATGTTCAATTCAATGAACCGTTGACTGGGTGTAGAAACTTTTTGCCTTTTTATTTGAGCTCGTTTAGTTTTTAGGAAAAATAAATAAATGAAATGAATTAAAAAAATAAAAATAAAAATAAATTAAATTATCTTTTTTCTTAATAGTAAACCTGATAAAATTCAATACTAAAATATTACAAATGTGAGAATTTTCACTCCTTCAAATTTCCAACTTCATGAATAAAATTATTTTTCTCTCTTATGAATATGATACACATATTCCCTTCATAATTTGATTATTTTATTTTTATTTTTATTTTTTAATTCATTTTATTTTATTTATTTTTAATAACTAAAAGGGATCTTAATTTTATTTTTCCTTCATGGTCTTTATCGTGACCAAGTGCCAAAAAATAAAGTATTATTTTTGAAGTTTGGATCATTGATGAAGTAAATGCAGAAGAAAAGAGAAAACGACTGAAGGAAACTGCGGCATAGTAATTTGAATGAAATGTGAAAGATATTAAGAATTCAAAATCTAATAGAAAAAAATAAAAATAAACAAAATTAATTAAAGCCTTTGTGTACCCAATTTCTATGCTTGGGACAACGGAGGAGCTCTTTCATAATTTACAATTCATTCATGGTGAGTTATCCTACTTGCCACCTAAATTCTCATACTTTTCACATACGTGAGCACTTAGTTTAACTGTCAAGAGAGTTAAATTAGAAGTACCCTAAAGCAAGCTATTGTTGGTAATAACAGTTTAATACAACTACTGGTAATGATAGTTTTACACTATCGATGGTAATATCAATCCCACATAACGATGTCTGAATTAGTCAAGATTGAATGTGGTAATACTTTTAGATTTTTTTTTAAATGTCATCACTTTTATTGGAAATATGCCACTCCCAACTTCTCATTCCCCTATACCCATTAATGTCATATTTTTGTTTTCTTGTTTATACTTTAATTTTAAATGTTATTATTATTAGTTGAATATCTAAATAATATATTAATTAAATTTAAAATATATTATGTGTGCGTTTTCTCTTTAATTTTATTATATTAACCACTCAAATTTTTATATTTATGTTTTTTTCCAAAATAACTAATATAAAATTTATGAACAGATTCAATTATAAATTTGATTTTCATATAACGTTACGTATAGCTCACTTTAATTTTTATGTGAACTATGGGTTCACGGCATTGTTGATTTGTTGTTACGTAAGGGAGAAAAATATTTTTTTAATCAATGTAGTCAAAATTAAATTGGACATTGAATCAATTAAAATATTAGTTTAATGAATCATGATTTGACTGTAATTCGATCAATTTCAATTAAAATAATAAAGCTTAAAAATTATGCATAAAAGTAAAAATATTTTAGACAATTTTAATCATATTTTTATCATACGTGTCAAAATTATAGTCAATTATAATTACAATAAAACTATTTATTACCCATTAAAAATAACTAAAATAATCAAATATGCTATAATAGTTGTTTAATAATACTAACATAAGCTTCCATTGTTATTTGTTAACTTAAATCTCCAATACATCATTATATATACAACACTAAAGAAAAATCAACTATAAAATAAAAATACAAAATAACATAATTTGGGGTTATTGAATTTTTTTTTAAAAAAAAACTTATTGGTGACTAGTTCACTTTTCCCCCAATTTTGTCCCTTGACTGGACCAGATTATAAACTGATTTTTTATCATATTGGTTGAACCGATTGAAGGTTCACTTATTTTAGCTTATTTCATAAAAAAAATCATTTTTTAAAAAATTATTTTATGATGTTTTATGGTATTTGTTTAAACTTTTAAAAATAATAAGAATCCGAAAAAAAGTAAATTTTTAATTATTTTAAAAAGCTACTTAAAATAATCTAATACAATAAATGAAATAGAGTATTTTAAAAAGGCGGGACACAAAGATATCATAAAATTATAAAATAATATAATAATAAATTATTTTTATAAAATAAAATCAAGGAACATATCATAAAATTTAAAAATAACTAATTAATAATTAATTTTTGATTATTATAATTAAACATAAAATAATACAGTATCTACTTTTTATAAAATTTTTATAAAATAAATTTTTATTTATAAAATTCCTAAACTATTTAAAAAATATTTATTTTTTAATTTTAAAAAAACGATCCTGATTTGGTTTAGACAATAATTTTCTTGTAGGTGGGTGCTTTGCTTTATATGGTCATCATCGTGATCACTTGATAAACGTGTTTTATACTTTAATATTAATATTAATTAACATATACGCATAATTTGAAAGGTCAAGCAAATGTTCACGCTATCAACTTTTGTCTTTTCTGACGGGCAGCTTTATTTGTTTTTGTGGACCAAAAGGTCCATGACTTTAGCAAACATGCGCAGCGTGACCAAATGAGAAAGAAGTTATCTTTTTAAAAAGAAAAATTAATCTATTAACCCTTATATTCTCAGTCAATTTATCATTGAGTTTTTATAATTTAATAAATGTTAGCCAAAAAAAAGTTAAAATTACATTTATATCCTATGAAGCAAATACAGATACAATCAAGTACCATCAAATGAAAAAAAGTATTCTACAATCCCCAAGTCCTTAGAAGTAATTTGGGTATTCTAGCAATTAGCCAAAATAGTCCTAATTTAAAGACAAATCTAGACCCATGATTAATTGTCCACATAAAGCCACGGAGACCTCCGCTTGTTATCAAACTCTCCCTCTCATCTCACGCCTCTCGCTTGTCACCAAGTTCATCGTTGGCCACTGTGAAAACCCCTCAAAAAGTTCTCATTTTTGTTGGATTGATGTGAACAGAATTTATAGGGTATACTGATGAGTTAGTATGTGCTTGGATTAAGGGGAAAAAAAGCAACTGAGGTTAGAACCAACGGAAGTTAAAAAAAAAAAACAAAAAGAATTATAACCAGATCTCACACAAAAAAAATTAATTATTATAAGGTCTATTGATAATTAAACTGAACTATATTAACAACACAATCAATTATTAATGCAGTTCAGTTTAATTGTCAATAGACTTTATAGTAATTAATTTTTTTATAAAATTTTAATATAATTTAAAAAAAAAGCCTATAATTTTAGCATGATTTATATTTGGATACATTTTTTTAGAAATTAGTTAAATAAATTAAAATTATTTGAATGATTTTATTCTAAAATCAGTTAAAATGTATAATAACAAAAATGGAAATGAATTTTTTTTACATATATTTTTGTGACTAATTTTATATCTTTAGGGAAAAAAAGAATATAAATTTTATTATATATTTTTTTATGATTAATTTAATTTTTTTAAGAAAGGAATATTAAACTTTAAATTATTACAATTATATTTTTAAAAAATAGAATTAAAAAATCTAAAATAAAAATTAAAAAGCAAAGGTTGCGCCTTTGATCCAGACACATTAGCGTACATAGAATGTATCGTCCTAGGTAATCAAGCTTTTTCATTTTCCCTCATATTTTCTATTCCAGAAGCTCTTCATGTTTTCCTTCTTTATTTCCTTCTATTATTATTTTGTTCCCTCGGCAGGCTCCAGAAATGATAGAACAAGAAGAAACGCAACGGACGAATGAAACCCAGCTTGACAAAGTAGACATGACAACAAAGTCAAAGGAAACCTTAACCGAGCGGGATACAGTTTCGGCGCTCAGAGACAAGCTGAGCAAAGGGAGCTCATCCTCAAAATGCGTCGCTTAGATTAAAAACAAGTTGCACAGCCATTCATTCATCAGTTCGCTGAGCGACGTCGTCTTGGGGGCTCCATTAAAAATCAAATATTTCATCTCAGAAAATCGAAAACATGAGCGAAACAAACCGATGTCGAGTGACGTCGTCTTGGGGCCTCCATTAAAAATCAAATATTTCGCCTCAGAAAATAAAAAACATGAGCGAAACAAACCGAGGAACTTGGCGCAAAAGCTTGAAGCAATTGGTGTTTCTTGAAGTGTGAAAGGCGTCGACTTTCAGCACGAAGAAGGAAGTTGAAATCTAAACCCGAAAGGCATTGACTTTCAGCACAGAAGAGGAGGTCGCCTATTGAAATTGCTGACTCTTCATTCAAAATGGAGTGAGAGGTATGTGCTATCTATATATATCTTGTTTCATTTAATTCAATGACACACACACACACTGAAATGTATATATGTTGTTTGTAAAGTGATGGATTCATTTTCTTTTCTTTAGCTTCTATATGCAATAAACAATAAAAAAATAAATTATTGAACTCATTTGTTATGTAAGTAGGATGGTTGTAGTTGTAGAGTGTTTATGCTTAAAAAATGATATTTGAAAAAAATCATATTTTTTATTTATATTTGAATTAATAAAAAAAGAGGAATCATTATTTAAGCTTATATTACCATAATATTTTATATATACAAGATGATAATTTTTTTTTGAAAGTATATTTTTTCATTGTATTTAGAAACCCAATAATAGAAGACGAACTAAAACTTAAAATAAGGAGGGAGTTTGAAAGTCTAGATGAAGCATGGAACTTTTGGAATGAATATGGCAAGAAAATTGGGTTTGGAGTTAGAAAGTATAATGGAACAAAGAGTAAAAAAAATGGTTCCATCATTACACATAAATAAGTATGTTGTAGAGAGGGTGTTCAAAAAAAGATAAAAGAGAGATGACTTCTTCTAGATATTGGCCTAAGACAAGAACCAAATGCAAGGTAAGGATGATTGTATCTCGTGTTGATAAAAAGTTCAGAATCACTAAGTTTAATGAAGAGCATAATCACCCTCTTCATACACCTAAGACAATGCACTTGTTACTATCACAAAGGAATTTATCAGAAGCTTAGGCTTGTGAAATAAATCTTGCAAAAGAATCTAGGCTTGAACTCAAGAATGCTTTTAATTTAATGAGTACATATGCAGGTGGTCAAGAAAATCTTGGTTATACCATAACAGATGCAAAGAACTACTTAATGTACAAAAGGAAAAGACATATGAAGTTTGGAGAGGTGGGATGTTTACTTGAATATTTTCAAAAACAAGTTGTCCAACATCCTGCATTTTATCATAAATACCAATTGGACAGTGAACAACAGATCACCAATGTATTTTGGGCAGATTCTCATATGCTAATAGACTATGCACACTTTGGTGAGGTTGTATCACCAGACACTACATATAGCATAAACAAGAATCATTGACCCCTTGCTCTCTTATCTGGTTTTAACCATCACAAAAGTGTGGTCATTTTAAGAGCAACACCATTGTATGATGAGACTATTGAGTCTTTCAAGTGGCTATTGAAAACCTTCCTGGATGCTCACACACAAAGCAATCCTCAAACAGTGTTTACTAACCAAGATCAAGCTATGGTTAGAGCATTGAGTGAAGTGCTTCCAAATACAAGGCATTATTTGTGCACTTGACATTTATTGCAAAATGGCATTAAATACCTTAGGAACTTGATGAAAGAAGGGTCAAGCATTTTAATCGACTTCAAGAAATGCATGTTTGATTATGTTGAAGTGGATAAGTTTGAAGAAGCATAGAGTGAGTTATTATTTGCTTACAATGTCCATGAGAATGGGTGGTTGAAGTCTACTTATAAAATTAAGGAAAAATGGGCCAAGTGCTACATGAAGGATGCTCTCACATTAGGCATGAGAAGCAGAGTGATATAATTTAATGCAATTTACAGCAATAGCCTCTTAGTCACATGTGGCATTTGCATACTCAAATTTGAACCATTTTGGTCAATCTAATACAACTTATGCCCAAAATGACATTTTTACAGCATTTAATACAATCACCTAACAAGTTTACATATTCTTTGTTCTTTTCAGCTGATTAATTTGCAACCAGCACAATCATACATAGGACATCTTTTGGACCCTTTTATAAAGCAATTCTAGAACAATTGTGGACATTTTTTGTAGGATGGCCCTTGCTTTGCTTCACTACACAAATTTTCACCCAAAGTTGGACACCAATATCTATCCTGTAGAATGGATGCAAATCAATCTCCATCCTTCTCCATTTGTAGCCTTACACTATCTATTCTATGTCAAATGTATTTCAATGAACAATTCCACAATAGCAATTATTAGTGTTTTGCATGACCCACAGTTGTTGCAGCTGGCATTGATGGCTTTAACATGAATTCTTTGTACTGCATTGATGGCTTTAACATGAATTCTTTGCAACTGGCATTGATGGCTTTCACCTGCATTCAATAGCAACATCATAATATGCTATGTGCAAATTAAATAGAACATCCTTGAATGTAGATTGTAGAGGGGAAGCGAAGAAAGAAGCTAACTTCACTTCACTCACTTGTATGAAAAAATAAATGAGTGCACGATAACTTACCTTTCATATATAGCTCGACATTAATTTTACAATTAGTAAAGGACCTGGCTCTTGAAACCGACTGCAGAGACAGTCCACATGGGATATTAATGTTATGAAAGTAAAGTTCAATTTGAATATTCCTATTAGTCACAATTCATTGATTCTGGGGAGAAAATTGAAACATGGTTCAGTTGACTGATCCTATATTTGAAAGTCTTTTCTTTAGATCGAACAATTCCTTGTCTTAATTGCATTAATATAATTACCCATATTGAAAATAAAATCACCATCTCTTACATCATTAGCATTAGTCTGGTTTAGCTCATTTTGCTCCTCAACTTTCAGGCCCAAAACTTCTAGCTTCCCTATTAAATGCCCTCTAGTTGACTGCACATATTGATTAAACTAAGTTGTTCAACAACCGACTCTGATGTAAGATGGCTAGAGTGTGAAACTTTTATGTCAATAGATGCAACTTACAGCTATTTTTTCAAGTACATCCTCCTTTTGCTTTATCACAGACATTAAGTCAAAAAATGACCATCTCTAAAAGATAGACAAAAAATAAATAAACAAAAGCATTAATAGTATCATTACATACAACCTCTGTTTCTAAATCGATTGCAGATTTATAAATAATCTTGAGAATAGATAATAGTCTCACCTTCCAGTTCCACCAGATGTAACAACATAATCCCACAGCTACTAATGTAGCGGCTGGTAATAGGTAAGATGCATAACTCCCTATGCGCAAATGATTCACACATTAAAATTTATAACAAAGCTTCAGCAATACATACGGCTTCCTGAATGAATCACATGTCAAAAACTATTCTGTTAGATTATGAAAAAAATTATCCATGAGCTCTCATTTACCAGCCTAACCTTTAAGCATTCACTTAACAAAAATTATCCATGAGTAAAACATATGCATGTATAGGGATTAACTTCCCTGACACATTAGATTGAAGATTACAATATGCAGAACCTGCAAGATGTTCATGGAAGGTATTCTCCATTTCAAACAAAAGGAATAATGCTTCGCAATATCAAAATACATTAGGATAATAGATCTTGTCATTAAACTAATGCATTTCGTAGGCATCATTAATATTGTAAGCATATTGAAAAAGTGAATCTAGAAATGGGATCGCCCTAACAAGGAGATGATAGGAATTTGGGAATTGAAAAGAATGGAGCAAGAAGTTGTAATATCCATGACTAATTAGAGATGAAATTAAAGCCATACCTGAGATTATATAAATGAAGGGGCAAAAGAAGCGATAAGGTTGACGAAGAAAGCACAATCGCTGAACGTGGCTTTGCCATATGCTTTTCATTGCAAGAACACTAGGGGTTTAGAAATTTTCACAAGCTTATTTTAAAAAAATGAAAGAAATTTCAGAATTAGACAGCTAAGATTTCTTGCAATGAACGGCCAAGATTTTCCTCATTTATTGAAGCTCTGCATTTTGAGGATGAGCTTCCCTTGCTCAGCTTATCGCTGAGCATCGAAACTGATCCCAGTGGGCGTCGCTTAAGAAGCTCATGCTTTGAGCTTCAAATTTGACACTTGTTATCTTCAAAAGCTCTTTTGAGAAAAATTGTAAACAGACAAGATTAAAAATTATCTAGGTTTAGACCCTCCAAACCTCAGTTTGGTTGTTTATCCGAACACACTCGTAGTCATTAAAATATTACTTTTCAATTTATAGAGTACTCTTTCAATCATTTTTATAAGTTATTTCTACCAACCTCATCACTACCAACATAAAAAAAGTACAAGAAATAAAAGTGTGTAAAATTTTAAATATGCTCTAATATAATAAATTTAAAAAGTAATGTTATGTTATTGTTCGCCGTCAAGCATTACTGCAAGCGTACGGGTGATCACAAGCGTAGAATATTTCAGAGTTATCGTTTCCACGAGGATTTAGGCAAATGAGGGTTAAAATTTACAATTAAACTTTAAGATAGATTGAGCAAAATCAAGAGTATATTTGTGTGAAAGTAATGAAAATCTGATTAAAATTGTTTTAAAGCAATTAAAACTTATTAAAACTTTGACTTTCAGATGTGAGAATCTAATATTATCTTTCTCCTTTGTATTTCATAAAACTTAAATTAATTCCTCTTTAATATATTTTTAATAAAAATAAATGTTAGTCTAAGGTTCTAATTCACTTGAAAAAGCTTTCTTAAATCAAAATCAAGTATATTTAAAAATATTAAAATTTCATAATTTCTTGAAAATAATTAGTGAAAACAAATTTTAAGTACCAATTTCAATGTAACTATAAAGGGTTAATAAAATATCTCTATTTTACCAACAAAACCATTCATTTATCTTTGTAAATTTTAAGTTCAATACTATTTTATTCAAGTTCTATACCTAAATTGGCTTTTTCAAGAACAACTCAAGTGACCAAAATAATCTAAATGATAACCAAGCACTTAAAAGCATTAAGCATAAGATAAAATAAACACACACACACACACACACACACGCACGCACACACACATATCATTAACTATAAAAAAAAGGAAATATTCAAGTCTTAATCTATACAAAGGTTCAAAATAATCTTAGAACAAGAGAACTAGTTACATATATTCAAAAAAGAGTCACAAATGTAAAAATATATAGCATCCATATCAGAAACAAAGAGAGAAAATGGAAGAGAAGAAGAAAAATTGAAGGAAATCTACTTAAATCTTTTCAAATCTTTGATCAAATCTCCTTCAAGAACCCCAAATCCTAGCAAAGCAAGCCTCAAAAAATCTCTAAAAATCATGATTTGCTGTCTGGAGGCATGTTTATGGCTTATCTATCCTAATTTTTTCATTTTGCAGCTCAAAACGAACATCAAAATTTAGGTCGTGCGTCGCGGCTTGTTATCATTACGCTGCGGTGCACATGACAAAATGTGGAATTGTGCCACGGCGTATTGTTAATGCGCTGGAGTGCTCTTGCATCTCCAGGACTCCTTGTCTCTGTGCCACATGCCGTGGTACATGATATAGAGCTTCTAATCTTTGATTTTGGCTCCAATTTTTTTTATTGTTATGTTTTTATATGCATCTTCAATCATCATTTAGCTATCTATCTTTAAAAATACCTAAAATAAACAACCTAAAATAGTAGATACAGCTATGAGATATTTTAAAGTTTAAAATCAAGGTAAGAGTCTTTGCAAAATTTTTAATAAATTCTATTTTCTAGGTCAATTTGGAATGAAGCTTATTTTCCTATATTTAAACCGAAAATATTCACAATTGATCTAATTCATCACATAAAATATAGAAAAATGCACTGAATTGACGTTAATTTTAATAGATTATCATTTATTTTTTATTTCTCATAAAAGATATTTTTGAAAATACCTTTCAAATACTATTTAAAAAGTCGTATCATAACTAATAAATGAAACCAAATAGACTTTCTAAAACCTGTCTTATAAATGAGACTGAAAGGAGTATACTAATGATTTAGTCATTCAAATATCTCCAAGTATACTGACGATTTAAGAATGTGGTGTTGAGGTTATAAAAGGCTCACATGTAGTGAGTTTATTATCAAGATTTGACACTGGTTTCTATTTTACATAATATCTTATTGTTTGTTATATTGATTGTAGATTTGGATAATATGAGTTAAGGGAACAAACAAGAAATAAATATGCTATTAGGATTTTATTCAATTTAATGCTATTATTATTATGGGTTAAATGGCAAAAATATTTATCAATTTTTCTTTCAAGAGCATTCAGTATCCTTAAATGAAGGAGGGTGCAAAACTATCCATAACATTAATTAATTAAATACAGAAGTACTCAAACCATTAAATACCTAAGATAAGGATTGTTTAACCACCATATAAGCAAACGGTTGATTAATTTTGTTGATATGAAGTAAATAAGTAGAGCTAGTAATTCAGACTAAGCTCGAACCTATCCGAAAAAAGTTAAGGAAGAGTTTGGTTATATAAGTTTTTTTAAAAGAATAGGATACTTAAACCCTATTTGAATAAGTTCAATCTGAATAAGCCCGACTATTAAAATTTCTAGCTCTATATGTATGTACAATTGATAATTTTGGCCAAGTTTAATAGGTCAATCTGAACCTGACCAAAAAAATTAAGACCAAACTTAACTATATAAACTTTTTAAAAAGAATATGATATTTAAGTCTGACTTGAATTGAACCAAAATTGAATAAGTGCATGTTTGGATTACCTTTCAACTTCAGTTAGAATCAACCAAACTGAAGTTAGGATATAAAATGCCCATTTTGTGTTGTTTAGATTAGGAAAAAATCCCAACCTTAGTTAGCCATAAACAAGCATTTTTTTGGAAGCCTAGAGACCTGGCTTTTAGGATCAGCGTCAGCATTAGAAGCATTGCAAGCATTTAATAATGTTTAAATTTTTATGCTTTCTCTCTCCTCTTATGTATCTACCTACGACCTGTATGGCTTTTTTATGTTGCTATGCGTGCTATTTTCTTCCTCCCATGACCAAGCTGCACCTCCAGATCTGCTCCACCTTCCTTTGCTTCACCTCCCGAGCTCTACATTCAATACCTAATCTCGGTCGATCTCTACCTCAGTTGAAGCACCAAGATCTCCATATTAAACTTCTTACAGACAAGGCTGTGGATGGTGAAGAGCAGTAAAACATGTGAGAACTTCTTACAAACACCACTTTTGGTCATAGGTTTTATAGTTTTGGTGATATCTCCGGTGAGCTTAATCAGAGCATGCTTTCATGTGCATGCGCTCTGTGGTTGTACCTGGTGGTGATAATGCTTCTTATGTGACGCTGATTGGCTTGACATTGTTCAGGTTTATCGTGACAAGCCAGGGCAGCAGTGTGGAGGTTCTCGACAGGGCCTATAAGGAGTTTCGACTGGAGGGTTACCCACCATGGCTAAGGAACAAAATTAAGGACCTAAGGTATTGGAACACGATCAGAACATGTATTCTGGGTTCCAGGACTTGTGCTAAGCTTGCTTTTTGGACTCCTCTTGATTATATGCAGAGAGATATGTCTCCGAGAAAGGCAAGCTGATTAAGCAGTATATATATACATATACCTGATTAATGAAGCGAGGGACAAAGTCACCAGAAAGAGCGCCATTCACTTTCCCTTCAAACTCGCACCTAATCTTAACCTACTTAGAGGAAGACTAAGGAATAAAGTGAGTACGACGAGACTGGAACTTAGGAGGGAAAGGAAGGAAAAGGGATGAGGGTGGCTTGACATTGACACTATGGGGTTTCAGAGAGAACAGAGAGTCTATTACCATTGAATGGCCTATGATATGAAAAGATGAAAATACAATACTGTTGTTTGTATATTAGTATGTTGCAGTTGAAGCAGAGAGATATGTCTCCGATTCAGGTACGTTTGTGTAAATATATATATATATATATATATGTTATGATCTATAACATCCCAAGTTTTAATTCCCTAATTAATTAAATTTAATTAGGGTAATTAAGTAAATTAAAGTGGTGTGTGGCCAAAGAGGTCTAACAACTATATTTGATGGTATTTCAGCCTTATTGTGGGTCCGGTATTAAGGCGGGCTACCCGGGCATTGAAAGGAGAAGAAAATGAAGAGTTGAAGTTGTTGTGGCATACGCTGCGGTGCGTAGATCATCCACCGCAATGCACAGCCATCTCTTAGCGAGAGAGGACCTCTCTATGCATCCACCACAGTGCATGGCCATTTTTTACATTTTATCAAACACGAATTGAGACAGAAAAAGAAAAAAAGAAATTAGAGAAAGGAGAGGCGTGCCAAAGCTCTGCTAAGGTTTGCTTGGGGACTACTTTGAGAGTATTTTGAAGGCTACAAACACCCAAGGTAAATATTATACTCATTAATCTTCCCTTTTTCTCCCACATTTATGAGTTTATGGTTAGGGTTTGATAGTGAAAGTGAGATTTCAGTCCATATGGGTTATGGGTCCGAATTTGTTGACTTAAATGGAGTTAATGGAGGTAGATTGGAGTATTTAAACCTAGGTATAATGAGTTTTGGTGTTTTGGGTTATTGGGAACCATAAATACCTGAAAATCCTATTTATTATGGGTGGTTGGATTGGAAGTTTGTGATGTCATTAATGGGGATTTAATGGCTCATTAATATTGTTGGGGGCTAAAGGTAATTATTAAACTTAATGGTTAGACTCCACCTCTTATAAAGTGAAGGTTGGGCAATTTAGAACTAGAAATTGAGGGTTTCAAATGGTTGAGTTTATCATGTTAATGGAATTCAAATTGGTTGATTGTAGCTTTAGCTCTTAGTTACCTATTGGAGTGAAAATTCAAGCTTGGAAGCTAGTTAATTGAGGGGTAAACCTTTGACTTTTTAAAGGTTTGAGGTAACCGGGGGAAAACTCTACTTTAGGTAGTTGTATGTTAATTAATGGTTAATTGGTTGTTGAGTGTGAGATTATGAATGTTACATGCATGAAATTGGTTATTTAAGTAAGATTTTAGTGCATGAAAAAGCTATTTTTGGGCTTGAAAATGCAAGTGCAAAGTTAAGAGGATTTTATTATGAATATGCCTATATTTTTGAGAAATGAATGTGATGATGTGTAGAAATAGTTTTGTGTTAATAAAAAATGAATTTTTGAGAAAGAGATGAGAATACATACTTGCATAGTACAAAGTCGTGAGCCTAACGTGATTGTTGTAATAATGAGTATTTGAAAGTGAAGAGTGAGAACAGGTGAGTATGGTTTATGGCATGATCAGTGGCAGGAGTTCGCCTAAGAATTTAGGAGTAGAGAAAATCCATATGGTAATTAGGCTGCCCTCCAGTGCACAGGGGCTATAGCCTTGTCCCACTGTTTGTTGAGGGACTGTCTCATTGTTTGTTGAAAGACTATAACCTAGCTATCTCTACTGGTTCAATGAGGAGTATAGCCTAGGGTATGAGACATCCCAGAGATTCAAGAATGGGGGAAGCCATGGTCTGAAAGTGAGTCCTGTGATCTTTGGCCAGGTTATACCTCACAATTGGTGAGCTTGGGTAGTCTAGTCACACGGACGGAGCCTTAATTAATGTTATAGCCCACAGTTTTAATTTGAAGAAATAAGAAAGATATAAGGCTGGTTGATCATTACCTAAGTAAATATATGATGTGTCACACATGCTAAGTGATGACAGGTCGTAAGAGTATTAGTCTTGTTTCATATCTGAGAATATGGAGACAATGCACCTGGCTATGTGAGTAATGAAGCTATAGTGTGATAAGTGATAAAATGTGATATATGGGTATATGTTTTATAAATTTGATCTCCTTGTGCATGTTTTTTCTTTATAATTAATATATAACTGCATAAGGTAGGTTTAACTTTAGTTACTGAGTGGTTAGACTCACCCCTCTTATTTAATACTTTTCAGGCTCTAACTCTGGTGTTGAGAGGGAGAAGACTAAAGAGGCGGGGAATTAGTACATTCCTTCTTGTATGCCTCTAGTTTTGATGTAGTTGTGTAATAGCATATGTTTGCCAATTCTAGAATGTATATTACCTCACTTGCACTATTTTGGTTGTTGAAAATGTTAGAATTATATTTTGGGCCCTCAGTCTTTGTGTATTTTTGTCATGTATATGTTTATAAGGCCAAAATACTAGTGTAAGTGTAGAAATGAAGATTTGAGCATGTTTTAAATAATTTGAGTTTAATACAATGCTATCTTACCTCCCCTTTTGTTTTTGGTAAATTGTGGTTGATAAGTGAAATTTTGTTATAATGATATTTCAATACTTGTGGCGTGTTGTATCGACAGTCATAGATCCATTGGACATGGTCCAGGTGTTAGGAAAGACTTTTGGCACTTGTTGAGGGTATTGGACACCCACTTTGTGTAAACGTGTTAAAAAGTAGTTAAAATGTGTTTGGATGTCTAACTTCTTAGTGTGATGTGTTTTGAAAGTGAAACCTATGCCATTAACTAGTATAGGAAAAGAGCTTTCTATAAACACCTAGATCACATCATTTGGACGTCAGACGAAGAATCGAGACAAGTCAGAAGTTCCTCGATTCTGCTGTCAAATTGACAGCAGAACCAGTGGATTTTTGTGCAACACACCGAGGCGCATGGCATAGAGAGCAACACACCACGACGCAGAGTGTGCCTGCCGTGACACACTGCTCTGTTTTTCAGCACATAATTTATTCTTCATCGTTTTCGACTTCTTTCACTCATGTGAGGTATCCTATGCTTCTAAAACTTATCTTTACTCTGATGTAAAAGATTTTTAGTGATGCTATTTCGTTTTTATTTAGAAAAACTTGGGATCCCTTATTTTTTGAATTAAAAATTTGGTAATCACTCTTCGGAGATAATTCCTTGATTATTAAGAGCTTTATTTGTTAAGTGTGGTTAGTGGAGTGAGGATATTACATGATCTCATTCCTCCTCCTTCTCTTCAATCACATCTATGGTTTTGTTATTCAGTGAGTATATTGTGTTTGAGTACTAGTCAAGTTTGTAACAAGTGGTTAATTAATTCAAATCTCGTCAAGTCCCAGTATAAACATGGTTAATTAATTAAGTCAAGTTTATAACAAGTTGTGATTTTAAATTTAATATTTTTTATTTATTAGTTAGTCAAAAAAAAATATAAACATGCTTAGTTAAGATAAAAAAATTTATATTTATTTTTATTATTAAACATTTTAACTGGCTTTTGAATCAAATCATCCAAACAAATTTTAATTTATTTATCTGATTTTTTTAAAAAATAATATTTAAACATAAATCACATTATATTAATCGACTTTTTTCATAATCTCAATTTACAAACCCCAATTGAATTCAACTTTAATTATAAATTTTTTAATTCAAATACATTTTAAGTCTGTCTCACCCAAATCATTGATTCTATGAATAAGCCTCTATTCAAACATCCACGCAAGATTTTTTTTGCTTCTTAACCGTAGTCTTTCACTTCACAGTTCCCCGCCGCCTCGGCACTTGCGTGCCTTGCCTGTGACCGGCACCGAACCCGCTTCAGCTCCTCCCCCACATCCTATGAATCCGGACGGTTGTCCTTGTCCGCCGCCACGCAACGGAATGCCAGCTCTACCACCGCGATGACGGCATCCATTGATTCTTCGTCCTTCGCCAAAAACAGGTCCGCTGCCTGACTCAGTTATGACACTTTCAGTCATTCAAATTTCCATAGATTGTTCTGTGTTGCTGGAAAAAGTTCAATTTTATACCATGCTTTCTCGCCTCATACCCAAACCCTCACATTTCTGACTCTTTTATGTTGATTACTTCGAAATCTATCTAACATCCCCAACCTCATTTCTCCTATTCTACCAACAATCCGAATGAATTTTCTTACTTTCTCCAAATACTTCTCCACCAACGGGAACGATGACAACAATGGCAAGGATCAATCTTCTACCAGTCGAGTGAGGATAAGTTTGATGCTATGTTCGCTGGGGATAGCAGAAGATTTGGTGGATTTAATGAGGGGGCAAAATAAATATTGGGTGCTGGAAAAGTTCGATTTCATACCCTGTTCATAACCTTGGTCTTTCTCTTCGCTGTCAGTGTTCAGCGTTCAGATCGGTCTGTCTCTGTCCGACTTTGATCATTCAGATAGGTTATAGCTCCGTGTCGCCATTTGAAGCAGCCGAGTACAGCTCATTTAGGTGGGCCTTCGATCTTCTGCGACGCGAGGGTGAAAGAAGGAGAAGGTCTTTGATGGAAGAAAGTGAAGGAAGAGATTTAAGAGATATTTTAAAATTTAAAAAAATTTAATTTAATTTTTATTAAATATACATATTTTAATAATTATATATATTTTTAATATTTAATGAAAGTTAAAATAAAAAATTATAATAAAAATTTAATGATATAATTTATAAATAAAATTAAATAATTTTTTATTCTCTCAACACTAGAATAAGGTGACAAGGACACTTTCTTCATCTTGCAGGCTTCTTTTCTTTACCATTCAGACCCTCCATGCAAGCAACGGTCAGTAGTCAATGCCAAGCACGCTCAGGGCAAAAAATAACGGAGGTTTGAGGAAATTATTAATTATGGGTAGTCTTACATCACCCTTTGCGTAAGGATATTTGGTGTTTTTGAATTAAAAATTGATAAGTATTTTTACTCTTTAATCTTATTATTATTTATTCCATTAATTCTTGTGGCGTGACTTGCAAGCTACTCTTTCTTTAAGTAGTGATTGTGAGAAAGAGAGAAAAATACTTAAAAATAGAGTCAATAATTTAAGCAACCTGTTTTTATTCGGGTAGGGTTCAATTTGAGCTGTATTTATTTAAATCGTGTCTGAAGTATTCTATTTTTTTTTAAAAAAAACTTATAGCTAAATTTGACCATAACATTTTTCAGTCAAGTTCAAGGCTAATCTGTTAAGTTTGGCCAAAATTATCAATTCTATATACATAAAGAATTGAATATTTTAGTGGTCAAGCTTATATGGGCTGGTTTATTCAGATAGGGTTTAAAATACGTTACTCTTTTAAAAAAATTCATATAATCAAGCTCGATTTTGACTTTTTTTATACAGGTTCAGACTGATCCAAATTACCGACTCCATTGGAGGATAAAAGAAAATTCTGAACATTTTTTTGTCAGCGTTTTCCCTCAACATTACATGATATATTTACTTCACATTATAATATGAGCGGTAACCAAAATCTATTATCCCTCGACATAACGTGTTCAGTTGCCAAAATATTAACGTCCATTAATTTTTGTTTTAACCTTAAAAGTAGCTAGGTTGGTAAGTAGGTAGGTATGTATGTAAACAAATCTGTTTTGTTTTCAAACAAGATAATAATAATACTTAAATTGAAATTTTACAAATTTTGTTATCTATATTATTTTTTACAATTTTCTTATATCGAACCCGTACAATATACGGGAGCCAAGTTAGTTATGAGTACATTTTCAGTAAACAAAACATAGGTTTACATCCCAATCTCTAAATAATAAATCTCTTGTTTCATCAATGATATCTTTAAATGGAGTTATTTTAATTCATACTCCTTCCATTTTTTAATATAAGAAAACATAACTAACTCACCCAGTTTAAAAAAATTAGTTAAATATGATAATTATATTTAAAAATTTTAAAAAACATTAAACTAAATTATTCATGTAATTAATTAAACAAATTTGTTTAGTGAATATAAACACAGACTTTATGATGAACAATTTAAAAAAATTTTTAATTTTGTTTATAAATGAAAATAATAGTTTTTCTTATATTTAAAAGCGGAGTAGTATAGTTTATCCAATAATTTCCCATCCCTTTTATTTGCTTAATTTGGAATGCAAGCCCATTTATTTTTTAAAAATGCTCACAAGGATCATGAGCTAACTCAAACGAATATTGGTGAGATGAAGCATTGTTAAGCTCATCACCTGAGTATGAAAAAAATTTGCTGACCTTAAAAACTTATTAAATTATTCAACTAATAATAAAAAAATTACATTTAAATCTCTCACAGGCCAATTAATTACCACAATATACATTGACAACTCAGCATAGCAAGATGACAATTATTTATCATCTTGCTATATTGAATTGTCAATAGGCTTTGTAATATTTAATTGTCTTGTGAGGGAGTTAAACATAATTCTCCTATCAAAAATTTGGTTTGATTAAAAAAAAAAAAACTCACTTCCTTATAAAGAAAAAGCGCGAATGAGAAGGAGAGGAATAAAAAAACATTAGAACAATAAACTTAGCAAAATTAATATCATTTAGACCAACTAGTAGTCATTCTGTGTATTTTTCAAAATAAAAAGACAGTTTCACACATCAAATAACAAAAATAAAGGAGAGTGACAAAAAAAAAAAAACCCCATGAAATGTGAAAATCCCATATTAGAACCTTGGAATGACCTAATCACTATGAGATCTCAAGTGATTTCTTTGGAATTTAATTTTGTTATGAAATTAATTTACCCCTTCCTCTCTGCAGCATCCTTCACTTCTCTCTCTCCTCCCAATTCCTGTGTGAAGCGAGCCGCCATCCAACATCCAATTGCTGAAAATCCTTAGCTTAACAAGCCATCAAACTCATTATTTTCAAATGTTGGATGAAGTACAAGCATGATAAATAGTTTCAGCCTCCATGACCATGATTTTCACTGGTAGATGATGGGGCGTGGCGTGGAGCGTCATCTTTATAGTCTGTGGATCCCTAGGCAAGTAGGCGACACTCGCATGGCTCATTGTTCATTGTATTCCCTCTTCCTTGTTGGACAAGTAACAAACTCATGAAAACAAACATTTTTGTAGATCAACTCAAGCGGATTCTGTTTGCCCCAAGAGCTCAAGCTTTTTCATAAACAAATTGTTGGGACTTCAAATTTCCCACACTTACATAGAAGCTTCCCTTGAACTCAACATGATTTGAAAACCCCCCACGCACGATTTTTTTCTTTTTTGTTTTTAAAAAAAGATTAGGTAGAGGCTTGATGGAGGGATTAGACTCACTGTCTGCAACTATCCACTTTTTAGCTTGCAGATCACAGCAATTGGCTGCTCTTTTCCAGCAATGGAAATGAAGTTTGAACGAAGACGGTTGTGTCAAGGATCGCTTCATACAAGGAACATGGGTTTCATTGAAGAAGTTGAAGAGAGGATGCCCATTTCAATTGGGATTTCATTTGTACTTTTTCCCCCTATGCAGAAAGGTATTAAAGTAATTTTATAACAAAATTTAAACGCAAAGAAGTCCTTTAAAATCTCATTGTAATTAGATCATTTCAGGATCCTAATATAGAATTTCCATATTTCATGGGTATTTTTTTGGTCATTCTTCCAAGAATAAATTACAATTAAAAACAAAACACGATTAAAAATAAAATAAAATATAGGAATATGAAGTCATGTTTTCCCTATCATCAAATAATAATGTGTACATCCCCATTTTTTCAGTATGTTAAATGATTCTTTATCGCCATATAGATAAGCTGCTGTTTCATCGGTTCTTTTGTACAGTTTTCTTCCACTGAGTGATAGATTTACAGTTTCCATTCAAAAAAAGAAAATCACCCACAAGAATTCTTCCTGGTTGCAGATCAACAAGGCAAGCTTTTGCTTGCCTATCTTATTCAATAAATAAATAATAATAAACGGATAATAAAATAAAAATTAATTTTATAATTTTATAAATGTAAAATTCCTTTCAAGCCCTTAAATGAAAAGCAATTAAAAAAATTATGATTCATAGTAATGACAACAGTAGTAAACATTACACATGTGCAACGGAATGACATTCAATCCTAGTTGAGAAAAGAATACAGCTTGATAGGAAGCAGCGCACAGAATTTTGATATTTCCAATAAGCAACGTAACCTGAAAACATGAATGCTTACTAGAAACAGCGATTCAGCTAATATGAAGCAAAGTTGGGATCAACATCGTTGGACCAAGATTCCAAGCCCCCAATAATGTCCTTGGCAGAAGTAAAACCCATTTTCTGAAGATACTGAACAGCTAGCTGAGAATCATTTCCTCTTCGGCATACAACATACAACTGCATGCTTGAACCAGAAGCAGCACCAACACCGAGCTCATCCTCTTCTTTCTTTACAGCCGATGATATTTCCGGCAACCTGACCTCTAAGGTTGAAAGTGGAATGTTCAAAGATTTTGGAAGAGATACAATCTTGAAATGGTGAGCTGGTCTCACATCCACCAACACATGTGGTTCTTTCTTACTAATTATTTCACTGTATTGCTTGCTGCTAATTCTTGATTCTGCTGGAATAAGGTTCCATTTCAATGGTGACTGCAAATCAAGGAAAACATGCTTCTTGATGATTTTATACAAAGCGATAAACTTTTTATTATATGTAATAGACGCCTCTAGGAAAGGATACTACCATAATCAAGATAATCACCTAGTCATGATAATCCCTATAGTTGTGTGATAAATATAGTACCTCTCATTGCATATACTAATTACAATGAATTTAGATAATCATTCTACAACATTCTTCAATCTACAAGACAGGTAAACATAAAACAAAAGTAGAAGAAATCATACCAAGGTCAGTGGAGTCTGAGTGAATTTCTCATAATCAAATTCTTGGAACTGCTGTTGAGTAAATGTTGAATTCTCTCCACAAACTTCACATTGCAAAGACCTTCCCCTTATTTTTACCTGCAACCCAAATCTAAAATTAATAATTGGGACTATATTTCTTGTCATTCAATCAGTCATGATGATGAAGGTAATCAACTCATACTATAGGAAAGAAACCATTTATCTTAAGAGGCAAAAATACTCAAGAAGTCGTTGGCCAAAAACATCCAGTAATTTAAAATGAGGAAAAGTACACAAGAGTCCATGAAATTATCTTCGATGCATCTTTGACCAAGCCGTTAAATTTCAAATTGACAACATAACAGTCAACGTCGTTGACTTTTAATGGTTTGGTCACGAATGTACCAAAAAAATAACTTCATGAGCACTCGCACACTTTTCCTCACTTTAAGCCACTAAATGCTCTTAGCCGACTTTTTGAATATTTTTACCCCTTTACCCTTTATTCTAATATCAATCGAACCAATAATTCGAGATAAGCCCATTTTTCCCACAATTTTAATTATGTAACAGCTTATCAAAGTTTTATCCAAGCCTTTCAAAATATACAACCACCTATGCAATGAGCTAGCAAATAGCCCATCATTCATTGAAACTGTTTCAGTTCTTCAAATTTTTAATTGGCATTGCAGAAAGTAGCCTAGCAGAAAAGTACAACAAAAATCAAAAGAACATGAGGAAAGATCTAGCCTAGAAGCATAATTTTCTAAGTGACACTGGACTCCAATGCTCTAACTTGCATGCTGTAGCGAAGTCACAAAAGGAAGCTTTATAGAGCAAAAGTTGCACCAAGTTGGTGATCACAACTCACAAGGATGCTGCAAAATGTTTAAAGTGTCCTGTGTGTGAGTAAAAGAATGAAAACAACGCAAGACAACTAATGGCAAACCACTGAATGTGAATGCTGACATTAATTTATATGAAGAAGAGGAGGTGAAGGAGGAGGAGGAGCCTAGGTTAAAAGGGAAAAGTGTATTCCACCACCAAAAAGGCCTGGGCAAAAAGGTCTCATGGACTCTTCTGAAGAAGCCAAAACAAGTTGTCAATAAAAGAGAAGAGAAATGATAAATTTGATAATGGGGAGAAGAGCTAGTGTGCCAATACACTCATAGTTTTTCTATCAAGCTTGCACTCCATTGATGAAATGCATTAGAAGTAAAAAAAAAAAAAAAATCCTTGATGAATGATAATTTGAGTTTCAATGGCAATAGCAAGAACAATCAATTTGATGAATTATATACATCTTTTGCTTGATTGGTAAAAATATATCAAAAGATTTGGTTGTTGACAGAGCATAACGGTATTGTGTGATCCATGTAACCAAGTGCATCCAGTAGAATAAGGCTTACTGTTGCTGTTGTTATATATATCTTTGCTTGGTGAACATCCTCATCATATTTAGAACTTGGAACATGCTATATATATAGTGTGTGTTTGGTTTTCAGTTTGCTCAAAGTCCATTTGCTAAAAATTCATTTGGCAAAAGTCAATTTAGTGAAAGTTAGTTATTGTAACAAAATTTGTGTTAGGATATATTTTTTAAAAATTAGTTTAGTAAACTAAAAGTTGTTTGAATTATATGCAGTGAAATATGCTTTTAAATATACAATTACCAAAAAAAAAATATTAATTTATGATAATTTATAATTTTTGTTATACAAATATAATATATTAAAAATATTTAAAAAATGTGATGAAAATTTTGAATAACATAAAATTTGATATGTTAAGTAATAATAATAATAAATATAAAGTTTGATATGTTGAAAAAAATTATATAATAAATAGTTCAACATACATTAATATTGAAAATTAACATGACTAGTCGCTCGATTTATAACGTATAATTTGGTCTCTAATTGAATCACGAACCCTATTTATCTTTCTATCAAAAGCTACACTTGAAATATTAATAGTAAAATGAAAATAATTGCATAAACATAGTCCCACAAGTAAAAAATATCAAGAATTTTTTTTTTTGTGACAAAAATATAAAGAAAGATTAAAAGCAGAAGAGTCATCAAAAATTTTAGACTAACATGATCATATCAAAAATCAAAGGGATTACATTTCAAAAACACATTGCAAAAGCTTTAAATAGTTACGTTTCCTAAATCCATTTTCAGCTGCTATTTAGATGTGCTTTTAGGATGCAATTTCCTGCAAAATGTTTTACCCAAATAACTTCCAGTATCTTAAAAGTGAAATCTTGCTTTATGAATGTGAAAAGTAAGATTCCCAAACGGACCCATAATCAGTTGAGTTAATTGCCTTCCAATAGTGCTTGCCACTAAGCATTCCCCTAGCCCCCCAAAAAAAAAAATCTGATGAGATCAAACCAATGTGATGCAAATGGATACTAGCAAAGCTTAGGTGTTTTCATTTCTAACAACTTTAAATGGAATGCAAACTTTGTAAAAAGAAATTAATCTATTGAACCCTTTTCTCTAGACTTCTTTGACAATGGCATTATATTCTTGTCTTTTTGCCTAGACTCCTCTTCCTCATGGTGTACATGAGGCTTTATGGTTAAAGAGATTATTGGAGGAATTGAGATACATAAAAATAAATGTATAAATATCATCTATTTATGATGACAAAGAATCCTATACACCATGATTGAACAAGACACACCCCCCCTTTTTGTGTTTGATAATGCAAAAGAAAGCATTAGTCAAACAAATAAACTCAAGAGTCAAGAATGGAAGGTCATATGCCAATTATCCAATCTTAGTGCAACATAATTGCACTCTGCTAAACTAGACACATCGAAATAGACAAACATTTCATTAAGGAAAAGTTAGAAACTGGTATACTAAAGCTTTAAAGTCTTATCACCAAGACATAATTCTATGCTAAAGCCGGTATACTTCATAAAGAAGCCCAGTCTCAGGTTATTGATATCCTCACCAAGACATTATCTCAAGTGAATCTTTAAAGTCTTTTCAACAAGTTGGGAATGTTAGACAATTATTCCTCAACTTAGAGTTGATGTCAGAGAATAAATGCCTAAAAGCATTATTCCATTCGATCCTATTTATGAGGTACTTGGAGGAGGAGTTTTGTGGTCCTTTTTATAAGACACAATTGATTATTTATTACAATTTTCCCCTTTTGCTAAAATCTTGATGTAGAAAAGTAAGAAACTATTTTAAGGATGTATTTAATATAAGCAAAGAAACTTATTTAATTTTTAGATAGAGTTAATAAATTTTAATGTTTTCTTTGATTTTGATAAAAAAAGAAAATGCTGGAAATGACTTATAAATGAGGCTAAAGGGAGTATTTTCATTAAAATCATGGAATTAATCCAGTATTCAAGTGCATTAAAGAGCAACTAAACTGCTCTGCTCCTTTTATATTGGACAGATTCTAGCGGATTCAGTGAACTAATAAATTCCTAGATATCCAACCCATGACTTCTGGTACGTTAACAGATTATTTTGCTTCCTTTTTCTGGTTCCCTATTCATGGGATTTTAGTGACAAAATCAGGGGTGATGGTCCCATATATTTGTAACTCCCTTCTTTGAATTAAGAGAAAAAATTTTATCAACCCCTTCTCTAAAAATTTAAAAATTTATGGCTTAACATAAATATATGTACACATTTATAAACCTACAGTAGCTAGGAGTTGAAAGCATACCATACGAATCCGTGCAGACAATGCATCAAATAGAAGCATCCTTCCAGAGAGTGGTTCACCAACAGCACTAGCAATCTTGATGGCCTCTAAAGCTTGGAGACAGCCAATAACACCAGGAACTGAAAATGTATAAATAAACTCAAATGCTAGGAAACCAGAACAAGTAACAGGAGCAGAAAAAATTTAAGGTACAAATGAGAAGGAATGCAAGTTGTATGAATAAGACAAATGTCAGAAAAACAAGACAAATTCTATTAGAGGGGAAAAGGGGAAATGTATGATTGTTTTAATCTGGGTTCATCAATGCACATAACAGATGCATATTTTAGTTAGCTAATGGAAACTCCCCACCTATTGTTGTTTTCCATTCCGGTCCAACCAATAGCAAATTCCAATAACCAATTTAGAATGGAACATTTCCTAAAGTCTTCACTCCTCTTATATAATTCTCGAACTCCCGTTTACCAATTGATTGTCTCTTGAATTTTCCCCCCTCTCTGCACGCTCTCAATATTTTATCAAGCTTGGCTTTGAGCTACCTAAAAATAAAGGACAATTACATGCTTGTAGTAATTTTTCCCTTGGAAAAGCAAGAAATCAGACAGTATTTTGTGCTATTCAAGGCATAATATGACTATAGTCTAATAATGGACACAAGTACATGAAAATACTCCCTCTGCTTCTAAATATAAGAGGAAATAACCAACTCATATAGTTTAAAAAAGTTGGTTAAGTGTAATAATTATATCTTAAAAAAACTGGACTAAATTATCCCTGCAATTAATAAAACAAATTTATCCAGTGAAAATAATCATTGATTTTATGAGGGACACTCTAGGGAAAATATAATAAATGCTCCTTGAAATTTATAATTTTTCTTATAAATAAAAAAAAAAAAGAAACATAGTTGTTTCCCTTTATATTCAAAAACAGAGTAGTATAGTTTTACCTGACCCAATTCATGCAAGTGCATATAACTAGAAGATTTGTAGTGTGAAACTAAAACCAAATTGGTGACAAAAACACTAATATTCTTACCTACACCTAGAACTCCACTATCAGCACATCTTTGACAAGCTGTTGTAGGTGGTGGAGTTGGAAATAGACATCGATAGCATGGACCACCCTTGTAATTGTAAACAGTAAGCTGCAGAAGAAATTTTACAAAATGATACTTCAAATTAAAACAACCAATAACTGAATGATACTTTAGAGGAAATTTGTCCTGAAACAATACAAAACTTAAGAGCTGGAAAATTATTCTGGTGTGTGCCATACCTGGCCTTCCAACCCTAGGGCAGCACCTGATACAAGAGGCTGCACTCATACATATGAAGGTGATCAATAGAATAACTCTGCAATTGCAATTGCTTGAATTTTCCTACCAGACATATTAAATACATATATACGCATGGGAGAAAGAGGAGCAGCAAACTGAAACCGATTAAAAAACAATGGAGAAAGAGGAGCATCTAAATTTATCAACAACAACAACAAGCAGCTTTATCTGACAAGGTGGGGTCGGCAATCATCTAAATTTATAAATGGAGAAATTTAAATTAAAAAAAAAAAACTTCTCCCTCATATCCTGAACATTTTAAATGCAAACTGAAACTGATTTGCATCAGATTCATAGTAGAAGGTGCAGAACAGCAGAACATTCTGTTAAATCAATTCAGATATACAACCCCAAACACAAAGAAATCTGCTGAGTAACAAAGAGCATTCATGGATGAACAAAATGTTAAAGGAGCAAGAGACCAGACAAATCTGAATTTAATTGCTCACAATTTGCTCACACACCAAAGAAGCAGTATTTACCTTTCCTAAAACTACACAGCAATCACTGATCATGTAGCGGCTTGGAGCATTATCGGTTGCATCTATTATTATGTCATATCTTAAAAAATGCTCAAGGTCATGGAAAATGCAAAAATTGCCACATCAAAATAGAAGAATATAACCAATGGGCGCTCAGTAGAGTTGGCAAGGCTTACTGCCGGCATTCCTCAAGGCGAAAGTTTGATCCCTGAGGAGTGACAAACGCAATAATTAACATGGCCTTAAAAAAGTCATCCCATCAGTACCTCGCTACCACCGTGAGGTCTCTTCACAGGGGGTCTGGATTAGTTTGGGGTGGGCAAGCATACCCCAGGATACCAAGCGGTCTAGTACTAAAAAGAAAATGGAAGAATATATATATATATATATATATAATCAAGAGAAGAGGTAATTATAAGAACTCAGGTTGTAATTATCAAAGAGTAAAAGGAAAAAGGTAGGCATGAAAAAGGATAGAACTCAAGCAGTTCAGCAGATAAAAGAATGTGAGATTCTTTATAGCAAGGATACTGGTTCAGAATTTGTAAGGCATTGGAAGCCCGCAAAGCTTCTTTGTGTTCCACAATTTGAATGGTGGAGTTGATCCTGGCATACAGAACATGTTAGTTCCAAGTACAACACCAAATTCTCAAAGACTAATAAAATAATGTATCATTTCAATTTCACTATGAAACTTCATGTGAGAAATGTAATGTGTAAGATCAACATACTTGTGACAAGCAGCAGCAGCAGATTTTACTTTTGGCTGACCAATATATGATTCAGTGTGGATTACCTGAAATTAAATTATATTAGATGAAACAGATATGTTAATGAAATTTCAAGAACTAAGAGCACAAGTGTGTGAGCAAATAAACAGACACATAAAAAATGAAAAATAAGATCAGGTACATGCTATCAATTTGTACTCAGCGTGGTCCTTCAAAAAATAAATCAATAATTAAAGGTGTACCTGCCTGTGCATATTATTCAGCTCAACCAGGTCATGATCAATGATACCCAAGCGACCTGAATAAATTGTTCAAAAGTAAGATCTATAAAGGATCAAGAGTATTGTTAAAAGCGTTATGTGTCATATGACTATTTCTTACCAACCCCAGAAGCTGCAAGGTATAACAATGCGGGAGAACCCAAACCTCCAGCTCCCACAACTAAAATTGATGACTTCAAGAGATTTGCCTGTCCTGAACGTGATGGGAAAAGACAAGTCATACTCCAAAACCCAAAATAATAATCCATAGAGAGGTGTAAGAAGCAGTCCCATCCCAAGGACAATATTATTTAATCTTCAATTTCCCAATTATACAGAAGTAATGCAGACTTTTTTTCATATGAAAAGAAGTTATTAAGTTCTATTACTCTAACTTTTGTATTTAAATTTAAGCTGCCATAATGCCTGTGCATAATTAATTGTATTAATGAATTCCCGTCCGTGTACTTAAGATCTAAGGCACTAACGAAAAACGCCCATTAAACTGAATAGTTTAGTATGGTGATGTCTTCGCTTCTATATTTACTGGTTAGAATGGTTTCTCCTTTGGTCTAAGCACAACGTAGCGTCGTAGCCTGAATACCAACTTCTTTAGAATCAGATTTGAATCAACCAAAGTAAAATTGTCTCACTTTTACATATTCTATTCTAATTGTCTATCATCAAACTTCATGTAACCTTATAATTTGTTCTTCTGAACCTAGTGTCAACTTCATCAGACGTAATCGTATAAACGCATAAACAAGTCTTATCAGAATGAATTAGTCATCCAGAGATGTATAATCAAAAAGCAAAAAGAATTGAAGAGAGGAAAAACTTAAAACCAAACCTTCAACACCGAAAGAAGGAAGCAAAAGGTGGCGGCTGTATCTGTAAATCATATCAGGGGACAATCCGTTGGCGGAGTTCGAATTGAGAACGGAGGTAGGAGAGCAAGAGGCACGGTTCGGTACCTCATTACGGAGATTAATCTCGTGGAGTTGAGCTTCAAGTACTGAAATTTTTTGCTCTATAACACTTTTTGTGTCCCTCAACGACTCAAGTTCAGCAAGAATCCGAGATGCATCGGCATCCCCAGCCACGGACTCCATTGACAAGCGCAAGAGAACACTGAAGTTGGAGCTCAAGAAGACGCCTCCGAAGCGGCAAGAAAGTGGGGTTCGCGAGTTTGCCTATTATATATTATCTTTGTTTTTTTGGTAATCAAAAATTAAGTTATTATAAATATATGCCAAAAGAACTTATCCATTAAAAAAACCACCAAAAAAAAAAAAACAGCTGTGCGTTGTGATTTTTGTGAATTTCTTTTCTTTTCTTTTTTTAAAAAATGATAATAAATTTTTTTAAATTATATAATTATTATTATAATTTCTCAAATTAAAAATTTAAAAATTTAAATTAAAGGTAATAAGATTATTTATATTAATTACTTAATAAAAAATTTTAAAAACCTTGGGAGAATTACCTACCTATTTGGATTGAAGTTTTAATCAATTTTTTAAACAAAAAAATTGATTAGTGAAGAATTTACCAAATTAGCCCATCTTTTTCATAATCAATTATGTTATATTTTTTTTTACATATATTAAATTATTAATATTATTATATAATATGATTTAAATTTTTATAATTAAGACATACTCCCTCCGTTCAAAAATATAAAACCTTTTTTGAGGGGTTGAATTTTAAAAAATATAAGATATTTTTATTTTTAATCTTTTAAAATATAATCATTATTTTTTTTCAAAAGTACTCCTGTTGAATAAATTATTTCATATCTACTTCAGAGTGAAACACCATAATAAATAGTGGTTAATATAAAAAATAAAATTGGTTTAAAAACAAATAACTATTTTATTGAGAGGTAAAATTTGATTAAAACTGCTTTATATTTTTTAATAAAGGGAGCATATGTTGAATTATATAAATATTAAAGGATTACTATTATATAAATTTTGACTAAATTATCCAAACTTTTTTAATTTTGTTAAAATTAATTTTTTAAAAAATAATATCCAAACAAATTACATTATAACATAATCAATTATAATTAAAATAAATTATATTAATAAATTATACCCAACTGAAATTTAAACGGGCCCTATAGCATTTTGAGGGACCAAAATATCATTTACAAAGTTGAAATAAATTTTATTGTCATTTTTCCAATTTCTTTGGTCCCATTTCATTACTAAAAAAAGATATGAATGAAATGAAATTAGAATATGATAAGAAAAATAAAATGATCAAAATATAAAAAGAAAATATGACAATCAAATTTACAAGGAAAAAATGTATTTTAGTTCGTAAAATTGAGAGTTATGATTCATATAACTTGTAGAAGGTGTGATGATTCTAATACTTATAATATGTATTGTTGGGTTTTATCATATTTATTGTGAAAGGAGAGCTCTCTCTCTGTTTTTTTTTTAATTCATTTCACATATTAAAGGAAAACATATAACTTATCACAGGACAGGAAAAACAATTTACACAGTTCTTTCTCCAATATTTACCAATCAAATCAATAAACTTGCAAATTATTTGATGTGGTTTTTGCACAATTTTTTAAATATTTACAAATCAAAATTATAGATTTTTAATTTATTCGATGTATTTTTGTAAAAACAAATTCAGAAAACGAATTAGTAATATTTATTTTTACATTTAAGATCCGTACATAAATTTTTTCTCTTTTTTAAAAAGTTGACTTTTCTTAGATGAAAGTGAAGTTAGAATTGACTTTCATTAATAAACCAAACAAAACGTCACTATATAAATATACTCCCAGATCCAGATCCTCTTATCAGCATCTATCTTAGCACTACCCACATGGTAGAGTATTTAATGACTAAGGCTTTGAAAGTTTAACAGGAATGCACGCTTGAAATATTTAATAATTATTTTTATCAATTACTATAGTAGAGTAGATTTATTATATTTATATCTATCTATAATAATAGACTTTTTTTTTTATCATAGTAGACTATTTAAAAAATATTTTTAGTATAGGAAAAGCTTTTTTTTTCTACCATGGTAAGAGTTGACAATTTTTAAAATAGTTTATCAAACTATTAATCTATACAAAATAAGTGTGAAAATTTAGGATGTTATATTATTCATACACCTGCCTAACTCATTTATATTTATAGTGGTGTTTTGCTATTAGTAAGAGTTGTAAATTCTACCTGCATTAGTTGTTTATTTTTCATACATTAATTATTCATTTTTCCCACACAAATTATTCATGCACTTTGCAAGTTGTTTTTATTCATGTCGTTATTATGTTATTAATAAGAGTTATAAATTTTTCTTACATTAATTATTTATTTTTTATACATCACTTGTTCTTTCTTCTTGTGCCAGTTGTTTTTGTTCAAGAGAATTGAAGTTGTTTGTGTCGTTTCCCTCAAAAATTTAATTTTAATTTTAATTTAGGTCAAATGGAATCTATAGGGATTGGACTAACGTTTCAAAGTTTTAGAAAGTTAACTGTAAATAAATTTGGTCAGGAGGGTTTAATGAAATTTTCCCTATCACGAAATTGTAATGACGTCAATAATTATGCAATTCATGAAAATAAAAGGAGGGAACGAATTCCAAATCTATCTTTTACGTTGGTGTAAGAAAAAAATTCCATTTATTTTAATTATGGTTAATAGGTTACTTTTGGAAGGTATACTTCAATTTACTCTTTTTTTTTTTGTTCACACCACTGTTTTCTCTAAAAAAGACATCTGACAATTTCCATTAAGGTTTATTCATAAATTCACCGTTAATATTGACTTTCTAATGTAATCTTGAATAAATTCCCCTTTTTTTATAGCTATATGGTTAAAAACAAATAAACCAGTAAATAAGAATTTGTTTTAATGCTAAACTTCCTAATATAAATTTAAATTAATAATGAATAAAAAGTAATGAAGGAAGTATTAGAACCTAATTAATTTTCTAACTGTAAATTAAGTATTATTAGAACCTAATTAATTTTCTAACTGTAAATTAAATATTAATTAAGTATATATTGAAAGTATTTATCAAATTAAGAGTATATATTTAATTCTAACTGCTAGGTTTACAATTAAGAAGATAAGCATTGTAGTTAGTCAATTGAAATTAAAAATCTCATTATTAAGGCACTGCATTTAATGAAGATAAAGTTGGAAAAATTTCTGAAATTTTAACCAAATTAAGTTTCAACTATGTTTTACTCTCTCCAAATTATAATACAGGATTCTTTTTTACAAAATATTATTTGGTTCACGATATAAAACACTGAACTACTTTTATAATTATTTTTTAAATTATATTCCTATTTCATTTATTACTCTGTTTAAAAAATAAAGTATTGAAATTTTAATTATCATTATCACTTCTAGGAATGTGTTAACAAAAATCATTGAAATAAAAGTTAAACATAATAATATTAAAAAATGCATAAAAGTTAAACATAATGAAGTTAAAAAAGTCGTCATCCATGAAATAAAGTTGCAATTAATTTAGCATATTTGATTATTAAGAATTATCATCCGCGTCGGAAAAAAAATCCTTGTAGCATTATGGAGATTGTTCAAATTGATATCGCATAACAAACCAATAGATGACTTTTACAAATTGATAAAAGCTCTTACAATGATATAACTTTAAACCCCACGAATATAAAATGATATCAAGTCAATAAATAAGGATAAAATAATTATGTAGAAGAGGGGGAATAATTATAATAAACTAAAGCAATGTAGGAATTTGCCTTTGGTGCCCATTCTCCCCATTAAGTCAGAACTTGCTGCAACCAAAAAATTCAAATATCCAAGTTAAATTAAATCAATAAAAAATTGATGACAAACCGTTCATAATATTATTGAAATTGATGGAATAAAAAAAAATCAAATTGAGACTGAGGAAAAAATCAAATTGGTGTCCATGGGACTGTTCGTTGAGATCAGAAGAAGACAACATCTATCCTCGATTGTAAATACCGTCGGATGGCGGGTGGTTACTGTAGTCGATCCGAGCTCTTTTTTTATGGTAATTTTTTAAATATTATATGGTAAATAAAAAATAAAGAATTATAAATATTTTATAATAGAAAAAGGTTGGTTTGGGACTCACACGAAACATGAATGGTGAATATTAAACTAATACTAAGAAAATATTCCTCCAGATTATAATATAAAATATTTTTTAGAAGTCTTACTTAATTTAAAATATAAGGCACTAATTATTTTTGTACTTATTTTTCAATTATACCCCAAATTCATTTATTATAATTTTTTAAAAAATGGTATTTAAAATTTCAAATATTATTATTAAGGCACTTATATAGTATATTTAATAAGGGTATAATTGAAAAGATGTAAATTTTTTTTTTTCAAAAAATTAAGATCTCAACTAATTTTTTTGAAAACCATAATATACAAATCTTTATTGTAATGTCACCCAAACTCAAGCTTATTTTTATATTACCACTGAGAGTTAATATCTTGTGCATTGCACAGGTATGAAATCTAGTTGTATGGTATTCTTCAAATATGAAGTTATCTCAGCATCCACGATGAACAACATTCTAGTACCAAAATGCTAACCTGGATCTGGATGAACAACCTGAGGCTAAACAAAAAAAAGCAAAGAAAGGAGCCAAGCAAATACAAAGAGAACAATACAGAGTAAGAATGTAATCACCGAAAAACAATTCTGCTTCTGTTACCCAGAAATTTCAGCAATTTCAAAAATTAAAAGTATGGAGAATACAATTAAGAATTTGCACCAACACAACAAAAAGAAAGAATGTGTACAATCCACTATGTACAGAAACACATGTATCCAATCGCCAATTCTTCCATAATCATCCGCAATCCACGCAAGTATATATTCAAAGCTTGCTAACAAAAGAAATTGGGAAATTTTCGATGAGGGATCATTGACAAAAGATAATGAAAAAGAGGACCCCCTGAATTTCTAAAATTTTACTGAAAGATCGGGACATATTTTCGTTTGAATTTGTGAAAGAAATGATAAAATTGTCTTCATTTAAATAAACAACATAAACGACTTATTCATTCTCATTTCCATGCTGTGTGTTGTTCGTTTATTTATGAAATATTGTTTATTTTTCTATTTCACTTGTTTATAGTCTTGCCTTTACTTAATTTCATTC